GCACCATGACAACCGTGTTTTCTTCCATCATCCTTCAGTGAGTGACACCCAGGATGAGAACAAAAACTCAAAACTTAGGTAAACCGCTAAAGGATTCCGACTCACCTCCCAGCTACTTGCCACCGCACACCGCTGCAATCGTGCTAGCGCCGCCGCAAGGGTCGGGTTACGGACTCCTGCCGCCATGACCATCTTCTCCCCTTCCATCATCATCAGCATCTGGCCCGCCGCTGACTGCGGCTCCCATGCGTACTCTGATGCGGCGTAGTTTGCGTTCTCGCCCAGAAACCACACTGCGGCCTGCACGAAGATAAATCAGCAATATGAAGCGCTTTGCCTTTATTTTCCTGCAGAAAGCTGCAGTTGCCACGACAAGCTCCTCTTCCCCCATCCCATGTGTCGCTACAAGGAAATTTCTGCGTCCCAAGTACAGACGTTGCCAACTTTACTGAGGGAGTTGTGGGCAGCAAGCGAAGATTTAGTGTACGCAGAACGCTTTGCAAAATTGATCGTCATGGACTTCCAAACCAGACTTGCCTTAAGGATTCTGCCAGATTCGTGGATGATCTAACTTCAGGGAATCTAAACGAAGGATTCAAACAGTTGATGATGCTGGTCGAAACGCTCACAATGTTAAGTGGTTCCCATTTTCAAAGGCAGACAGAAGCTGTATTGATTGCAGCCAACTTATCCCCTTGTGAACTAAATGACACAAGCGAAATGAGCGCCGAGTCAACGTACGGGGAGGGTCCAATCCCTTCCAATATTTCTACTCGCATCCACCTACCTGTACAAGCCGTTGCAAGGCGGTGGCTCCTTTCGGGTCCGACGCCGCAGCAGCCGCCGCTTGCTCAGCGGGGGTTCGGGAGGGTTTGGCCAAACCGGGGGGTTTGGGTGGCGGCAGATCGAGGACGTTTCCAACCGCTTCCAGTGCGATGTGCTTTCCTGGGGGACCGCACCCGACGAGGCAGGACTTCCAGAGGGTTTGCAGAACGTCCACGTCGACCTGAAAGAAAACAAAACGGCATTCAGAAAAATTCTACTGTCTTCTTTTCGTAGATATGAATTTATCGACTGATCCGTGGAAGAATCACTTGAGAAAAACTTGAAGTGGAAAGTCCATGTCGACCTAAGAGGATATGCCACAGGCAAACAGGGGCTATGTTCTAATTTGTTTTCGTTTTTCTCCCCGTTCATTTTGGGTGGAAAACATTATACGTGAACCCTTCGTTGAATCGACAATCAAATCTCTGCAGGCCTCAGAACGTACCACCCTGCCTTGACTTTGAAGTTGTAATTTCATGGTTCGCTTTCAGTTTGATTGCACTATCATCTGTGGTACAAGAGTTGGCCATGACTCACGAGCTTGGGAAAAAGTCCCCTAATTGCCTTGACCCTTTTGGCCGAGAACGTTTCTTGAACAGCATCCCGCTTGCTTTGACTTGCTTGAATCCTATGGCCAATAACGTTTATTCAACAGCATCTCACTTATTCTGACTGCCTTGAACTTTCAGGCCGAGAACCATTTTTGATCAGCATCCCGCTAACTTCGAGCGTGGACTTACAAGCACAAATTGAACCATCACCACTCACCATATTTTACCCACACGCTCCGAAATGTCATGCTTCTCGATTTACCTTATGTGAAACTAGAGACGCCCACGAATTCGTGATCTGGAGCAGCGTGCCTGCCAGTTCTCTCATCAACTCAAAATGACAGAACCTTAAGTCATCATTTCCGTTTAGCCCATTCGGTTTCGCATTACACCATTCTTTTTTCTCACCTTATGTGGAACTAGAGTCGCCCACGAGTTTGTGATCTCGAGCAGCGTGCCTGCCAGCTCCAGCGTGACTTGCACTTAAGAGGCACACGTCTAACATCGACATTCCACTCACTTTCCCTCCATCTCTCACTTCGTCTTTTAAACTCACCTTGTGTGGAACTAGAGTCGCCCACGAGTTCGTGATCTTGAGTAGCGTGCCCGCCAGTTCGGGCGTCGCTTTAAAGCGAGAGTGTATTTGCAGCAGAAGTTCGTTCAAGAGGCTGGCAGGCCAGAACGAGTCCGCCAGCTCCCCAGCGATCGTCGACTGGAGCTCTTCGGCGGAATCCGTCTCCGTTTGCATCCAGATCATGGCCTGCAGCGGAAGAGGGAACTTGTTTTTCTCTACTCATTTTCCGTTGTGTGATTTAAAGAGGGTGTCGGGGGGCCGGTCCCCCCTCGGCGACCAGCAAAGTGCCCATAGAGCCAAATTGGTGGCTCGGGACAATTGTTGAGATGGAATCTGGTCCGTCGGATGAAATTTCCCTAGGACTCAGATGCACGAGAGGTCCTTGAAATCTGACGCCCTCTTTAAGGTCAAGCGAAGCGAAAGCATTAAGACGGCTGATCGTCCGACATGGAGCTCTTCCGGGGAGTCCGTTTCCGTTTGCATCCAGATCAAGACCTGCAGCAGAGGAGGAAGTACTAAGATAAGCGTGACCCCACACCCTCTTCAGGGGTACCCACTGCGAAAGATACTTGTCGCATGCATGCTCCATAATGGTAATTCGGCATTTGATCGAGCAGTGCTGAGAAAGAGGTATCGTCGACTGGAGCTCGTCAGGGCAGTCGGTATAAGTGTGCATCCAAATTATGGCCTGCAACAGAAGAGAAAGCTTGTTCTTTTTCCTCCTTTTCCCTCTGAGTAACGTAAGGACAGGCGTACCAACGATCCAAGGGCGTTAAGATGGCTGACCGTCAACTGCAGCTTTTTCGGGGGAGTCTGCTTTGCATGCAAATCATTGCTTGCAGCGGAGAAAGGAAATTGTAGAGAAGAATCAAAACACACTGACTGTCGACAAGAGATCTTTCGAGGAGTCGCTATCGATCGGTATCCAGAATTGTGCCTGCAAGAAACGGCAAATCCAGGTTGTGACGAGGGTGTAAAGTCCGCTCATACACATTCAAGAGGAAAGAGTCGTTTGACGGCTTGAGTCTTTTGGTACCATCTGCCTTTGGCGACCAATTTCCACTTTGCCGGCAGTGCATCGGTCGCCAGATGGGAATTGAGCGGACCAAGCGGACCAAGCGGACCGCTGGAAATCCAAAGCGAGCCTACCTTGAGCACAATGCATCGTATACGCCCTTTTTATGCAGAAGCCGTCGAGAAAACGGGTTTGAGTCTGCCAAAAGTGCGGCGCATCGTAGAAACCCCTTCTGCAAGCCAAGCTCTCCGAAGCGCACGTTTGTATTCACCATAAGCGCAGCGCAGCACGGGAAAAGCCCTATCCAAGCCGACCTCTCGAAACAACAAATTGTGCCTACCTTTAGCGGAGCGCATCTGGTGTAAACGCACTCACAAGCGACCGTCGATCGGTCGCCTCCATCAGCGTCGTGAGGCATTTGACGACCAGCTAAGCAATCAGCGCTGCATTTGTTGCCATAAGATACCCTCCTTCCCAGAAGCTCTCGCTAAGGTAATGCGCTGGAGGCGGAGAGCGAACCTACCTTGAGCGCAGCGCATCGGGTGTAAACGCACTCGCACGCGACCGTTGATCGCACGGCCTCCATCAACGGGGCAAGGACCGCCCCGAGCTGCGACCGTGTGAGCCGCTTCCCGTCGAGCAAGTTGCGGGACGCTTCTGGGCCCTTCGCCTTGGCAGCCTCCCGCTCGGCG